GGAATCCAACCGCCTAGCGATGCGCTCTTCTCTGTCTTGAAGCGGCTGCCGTTGATCGACGTTATCCGGGCAAAACTCGTCTCTCATGACTGGAAGTCTGAGGCAGACGCCGTCCTCTCTTTCAAATCCCATTCGCGCTTCGTCAAATCCCCATGGCTTCTGCTTCCTCCAAAACGACATGGAGAAGGTGGCTACACCAGTTATTCAAACCGCGCCGGCAGTGATTCTTATCGCATCATGAATCTGGAAGAAAACATGGTTTACGATCTGAAGGAGTCAACATCGCACCTGATTTCTGAGTTTGCCTGCATTGGATCCTCACACGGGTGGCTGATTTTGTCCGACCACACAACTTTATCTCCCTTCCTCTTCAACCCTTTCACCGAGGCCCGGATACAACTTCCTTCATTAAAACCTCTGATCGACATCTCCGAAATTGAGGATAGAGGCCTCTGTAAAATTGTCTGGAAGGGAAAACGGATGCTCCGGTCCAACGTAGGGCTACGCCGATGTTTTGTATCAAGAGTCTTTTTGACAGCAGAACCTACCGGAGGAGATTATGCCATGGTTTTGTTATGCGACTTTCCATTTCAAGTTCTTCTTTATTATAAGAATGGAGACATTTCGTGGACACCATTCTATGATTCAGGATTTCCGCCCCGTAATGTAGTGGAGGATATTATGTGCTATGAAAACAAGCTCCATGCCCTGACTATTCATGGTGCTATTTATACTTGGGATTTAGGGAGTGGTTATCCAGAAAATAAAATCTACAATGGATATGCTGCCCCCAACGGCACATTTCAGAGACAAGATTGTTTGATGTATGGGGTTTATCTGGTTCAATCAGATGGGGAGATTCTGCTTGTTGCAAGGAATGTGCCAGAGGAGGGGGACTATGATATCACTACTGAGATATTTGATGTATATAAGCTGGATTTGGAAGGGCGAAAATGGGTAGAAGTGGAAACTCTTGGGGATAATCGGTCATTGTTTTTAGGTCAAAATCAATCCGTATCAGTGTCAACAGAAGATTTCAGTAGATGCAAGGGGAACTGTATTTACCTCACCCATCATAATCATTTTTCAAATCCGCCTGAAGGTAGTGAAATGGGCATGGGCATCTACAGCTTGGAGGATAGAAGAATTTCACCAATTTTTGAGTTTCCTTCAAAGCCACTCTCGGTGTTCAGCCCGATACCATGTTTTGTCATTCCAAGTTCCTGCTAATTCATGGAGAAGTAGCAGTGTTAATTTTTTGAATCTAAATTATGCTCTTTTTTAAATGGATATTCAAACTGATTATTGTTCTGTACTTTTGTTAAGGTGTTTTATATATGCAATGATAAAGAAAGCTTAGTGTTTTATTGATATTGCTTGTTTTAATGTAAATAATAAAACAGAATATGTATTTAGATTTCTAATGGAGCTAATATGCCCAGTAACAAAAGCCAAAATGGTAATTTTCTGAAGCACCTAGAGATCAACAACTTGATTATGCAGTGCTGGAGGAATTCTCATATATGACTCTATGGATTGGGATCTAGAAGGAAACACTGACTGTTCTTTTTCTTTTCTTTCTCCCCTGATATATACCTCCTTTTCTTTTACTTCTTTATTGATGAAATAGCCATTATAGAAGTTAAGAAATGGGAAAAAAAACTCTGAGGAGAATTGTTCACATAAATAGTTGTAGTTCTAAACTTGTTATCTTGCAATGTGGTATCAAACAAGCAATATGAGGATGGATGATAACTGTCCTCATGCTGAAGATGATCATGTGAATAAGCACAAAAGCTTCACGTCATCTTCCAGAATCGAGATCAGGCCATTTCTCTACTACACGGAAAAGTTATACTTAATTTACTTTGTTACCAGTTATATTTGTATGTAATGTCACCCTGTTATACCATAGTCTTAACAAGAAACAAGGAACAGGTTTTTGTTCTCATTTTTTTTTTGGGGGGGGCCTTAAAATTTTTGGTCTTGATCTTGATTAATGCAGCTCCCGGTTTTTAATATGATCTTCAACTTTAAAAGCTCAATTAGGTAAGAAAATAGTAAAGTAAATTGGAGGCAGTGGAATTGTCTTTTAATGCCTACTTTCCCAATTTTCTTCGTTTTGGTCATTATAGTTTGGGTTTTTAACAGATAATCAGATGTGGGGCTAGGTAAGACTTGTGTTATGGGTATTAATTGTGACAGGCCAACTTGTTCAACCCATTTGAATTTGACCTAATGAAAGGGATGATTGCTATGTGTACAGAAATTTTACTAATAGCTGATCCTTCTTTGGGGCTGGGTTTCCAGGAGAATCCATTGCGGAGTTGCTGTGAAGAGTGGTAGATCGTGGTTTGAGGTGATGTTTATATTGTTAATTAATATAAACTATTTCATTAGGGTGCTTCTATTTAAGTTTTCTGAATGTTAACAGGCTTACAACTTGTGGATTTAGAAACTGTAAAATTTTACATCTCCTGTACAGGATGAGCATGTATTTGGTAAGTGCATTTTATCAATGTTATTCTACTATTAATTGCCTTTTCCTTCATTTTACCTTTAAATTCCATTGTTCTTGGTGATGGTGAACGTATCTGTATCTATCGCATGTCAACTACCTAGCGAGTTTGTTGTCCTTTGTTATGGGTGGTGTTATTGCCACAGCTTCAAAGGTTAATACCACAGCTTTTTTAATTAATTGACCATTAACCCACGCGGAGAAGGTGATGACTGCTGCAAGTTGGATTCAAAATGAGGGGTATAATAGTCAAATAACTAAAAAAAGCTGTGGCATTAACATTAGTGGCTGTGGCAATAACCCACCCCTTTGTTATCCCTATTTATTTTCACCATCAATGCTCTTGCATGGTCAAACTGCTTTTCCCCTGATGACTCTTAACCAATCCCAACAACTTCAATGTCCAATGTTATGCCTTAAAAATCACGGTCATGAATGCTAGATTTGCTTTATGCACAGGAGACATCATTTCTTGCTCTTGTTCATGGTGCTCTTGTATGCACAAGAGACGTCATAAGCATTGCTTCAGCACTTTGTGGTTTATGTATTTTGATTATCAGTTCACGTTTGTCTTATAGACTCTGGTTAATTTGTGGTCATCTTCATAGC